TCACTGGCCGCCGCTCCCTGCGAGGGAGCCCCCCCCGCGCGCGTCCGGGGCTGCAAGTCCGCCCGGCTGCGAGGCGTCTTGGGTTTTGAGATATTTAAAAAATAAATTCCTGCAAGCCGAGCCAAGCGCGTCCCTGGCCGCGGCCCCCCCGCAGGCCGCAGGCTGCAGGTCCGCACCCTCGCAAGCAGCGAGCTGGGAGACTTTCCCAGAGGAGCAGGCACCAGCGGTGGGGACAGCCCCCTCGCCCGGACCGGGTCTTTGTCCTGCTGGGACATGTGTCAGGCAGGCGCCTTCTCAGGAGGGAGCTCCCATGCTCGAGGAGTGCTGGTTGAACCCTGGCCCACCCCCTCCCACTGCCCCCCAACTTGGGCTCAGACAGTGCTGGGGGGTGGGGTGTGTGTGTGTCGATTGTTGCAGAAACCTGGCCATACAAAAATGTTTGTTTAGTTGTGCATGAGGAGAAAGGTCTGAAAAATGCCTGGCTGGCTGTCAAAGGGGAATTGGATATCTTTGTGTAATCATTGAAACTACCATTGGGGCCAAGCGTGGTGGCTCACACCTGTAATTCCAGCACTTTGGGAGACCGAGGCAGGATTGCTTAAGCCCAGGAGTTTGAGGCCAACGTAGCAAGACCTCGTCTCTACAAAAAGTTTGAAACATCAACTGAGTGTGGTGGCACATGTCTGTAGTCCCAGCTACTCAGGAGGCTGAGGCAGAAGGATAGCTTGAGCCTAGGAGGTTAAGACTGTGGTGAGCCAGGATCACACCAACGCACTCTAGCCTGGGTGACAGAGTGAAACGCTGTCTCAAAAAAAGAAAATAAAGAAAAATTACAATTTGGGCAGTTTCCCTGGCCATGGGGAGGTAGGTCGGATTCCCTACCTAGATGGCCCCTGGAGATGCTGTCCGTGAGTCAGTCAGGGTTGGTGGGTGCTGCCCATTTCTGGATTCCTTTTGGAAGAAGCCCCCATCCCAACACCTACCCCAGAACTGCACTGTCTTCTGTTACTTTCTGTGGTTCTTTGCCCCCTCTGAAGTTAAGACTGAAGGTGTTGTTAGGGCTTCCGTGTATTTTGAGAGTTAATGAGTTTCAGTGCTGAAAATGTCTTGGCATGTGTCTGCCGGATGGTGGATGCCTCTGTCTGCTGATCACCGACTCCTCCCCCCTTCCAGTCCCCGTGGCAGAGTCCTTGGGTCAGTTGGATGGTGATTCTGTGTTTTCCATAGAATCTGGAGCAATTGTGGCCAGTTCTGCATTTCTTAGGAACAGTGATGCTTCTGCATTATCCATATCGTGAGTTCATGCCATTCCAGAGCAAGGACCATTTTCTCCTTGGCTAGAGGCCCAAGAAGGGCCATGATTAGCTATACACAACCTGGGCTTGGGTGATTAGCGGCGGCCCACTTGCTGGAGGGCAGTAGCCAGGCTGGGGCACTTCCATCCTGTGGGCCCTTCTTTGTGTCCTGTCCCTGAGGGAGAGGGGTATGAATACCTCAGAACTGGCGGTGGTGTGTCAGACAGTGGTTTGCATCACAGCCACAAGCTGGTGGTTCTGTCCTTCTGAAGTCCTTGAAAAAGAAAATACAGGTCGTGCAAGTCTGAAACAGTTGATTCCCACGAATGTGGGCATGAGCCATTGATGCATTTTCCTGTGGAAGTGATTAAATGAGGAACTTAGAAAGGCTGGCAAGGCGAGTGCCCACATCCTGTGGGATGAGGGCTTGCTGATGGCCTGGTGTGGGCAAGCCGAGGCTGTGCATTTCTGCAGGTCCAGTCCTACTGGGAGTCCTCCTCCATCACACGGATTTGAGGAAGAGTCTGACTGTGGACCAGGGAGCCATGAAGGTTGAGTTGCTGCCCGCACTGACCGACAACTACATGTACCTGGTCATCGATGAGGACACCAAGGAGGCCGCCATTGTGGACCCGGTGCAGCCCCAGAAGGTACGTGTGGCCCTGCCTGGTGCGTTATGCCCTTATCACCCTGCGCGTGTCTTCACCCCCAGTGGGTTTCATAACCACAGTGTCCTGGAAACTTTGCCTAAGCTAAGTGAAAATTAACCCTAAGCTAAGTGAAAATTAATCCACTTAGTTTTTGAAAAACAAACTAGCGTCCAGCCACTGCCAGCAGGGCAAGTGTGAGGAAAGAAAGTTCTCTGCCTTTAAATCCTGGGCGAGAGACACATGCATCCTCCTTTGCAGAAGGTTCCTGTCCCTCGATGCTATCTGCTGCCTCTGGGGTGGTCACCTCACAGCTGGAGGGGCTGGGAGAGGTCAGGGTAGGACTGAGACTGCCAGGCTGAGCAAGAGAAAAAGGCACCTTCACCCTGCTTTTCTGGACTAGTGAGCCAGCGGGGCTGGGACAGGCTATGTTGGCAGCCCCCTGCCGGTACATCCTGGGTTTCACTGGGCACCCCGCCCTGCAGGTGGGCAAACCAGGCCTGCGAGTGACGGACCTTTGTTCTGCCTCCTGTGTGGCTGCAGGTTGTGGATACAGTGCGGAAGCTTGGTGTGAAACTGACCACGGTGCTCACCACCCACCACCACTGGTAAGTGCCACCTGGGGAGGGCAGGAGCCTGGGTCCCTTCTTGCCCTGGGGTGCTCAAGGCCACTGAACTCTTCCCCCCGATGGCTGTGTCTGAACTGAGGACAGGTAGGGTTCTGAGATGGTATTGGGGGCTCTAGGCCTCTTCCGTCTCAGTCTCCAGAGCCCTGGTCCCTTGGCCCTGAGTGGCAGGTCCAGTACTGCAGTGACTCCAAGGTCCCACAGCCTGTGAAGGGGAGAGGGAGGACTATGTCCTCACGCCTCGGGTGCTGCCTTCCCTGCTGTCTTCTCTGGGCTGCTTGTGTGATGGCACATTGGTCTCAATGCCAGGGAAGTGATGAGTCTGGATGCTAGTGTTTTAAAAAAACAAACAGCCATATTTGGAGAGGTTGGGTCTTTAAAAAATATTTGAAAGTAGAAGGATGAGTAAAGCATTGTATGTGGGTTTCAGTGACTTGCCCTTATTTGGCTTTCTGAAATGTTTGAAGCTCTTCAAAACTAGAAAAAAAATGTTTATTTGGCCCTTAATTTTCTTTGCCAAGTATGTGCCCAAAGGCAGCTAGCACCTTTTTCTTGGAACCTGGTCCTTGGGTCTCACGCTGTCCTCAGGCCTCCCCCCCAAGTGAGAGCATCAGCAGGTGGTTTGGCCAGGGCCTGATGGAAGCATCACACAGTGGAGTGTCTCTGGCTCTTTCAGCTGGGCCCTGGCACAGTTTCTGGTGGCGTTGGTGGTGTGGATGCCCGAGCCTGGGCACTGGGGGCAGAGACTGCAGCCGCAACCTTGGCCTATTCTCACCCCCCCCTCAACAAATTCACCCACATGCCACCCGCAGCCCCTGCTGCTGCCATATCTGACCCCTGCAACCCTGGTGGTATCCTCCACGTGGCCGCCTGGAGCCGGTTGGTTTGCTGCTCCCTGCTTCTGTCTGCCATGCTGAGTCATCGCCATGATGTCTTCTGTACTGCAGTGCTTTTTGTTTTTTCCAGCACCATCTCATATTCATGCTAGAACGTGAAATCCTGAACCAAGCCCTAGATTGGGTCCTCCATGGGTGGTGGCACAGTGCTGAGGGTGCTCTGTGCTCACTGCCTGTGTGCAGCAGCTCCTGAAGGGTGAGAGGGGCGGAGGGGCCGGCTGCTGCCCTGCACGTTATCTCAGGGCCCAGCTGTGCTGAGGCTGCAGCTTCTGGTGTGTTGCTGGAGTTGTCATGGGGTGTGGCCACTGAGGCACATGAAGGAGTCCGTGGGTGGACCTCAAGTGAGGGGAGCATTGGCAGATGGACCCGCAGGAGGCAGGTGTGCCCTGGCACAGGGAGGGCCCTGGCCTATCCCTTGAAATGAAACCTGGTCTGCAGGTGTGGTACATTCACAGGCCACCTGCAGTGGGGATTTTTAGCACAGGCGAGGCCCTTTCTGAAATGCAGGTCAGGCGGGCTTCCCTGGAGGAATGGCCAGGAGGTGCCTCCAGCGCACTGCCATCAGAACACTGGGGCTGGTGCCAGCCTGGCTGCCTTGTACAAGACTGCCCTGAGGGCTGGCTTGTCTTCCAGAAGCACCCCAGGAGGTTCCCATGCTAGACAGCTACCCCCTGCCACAGCTGTGGCCCTAGACTGGCTGCACACCAGAATTGCCTGGGCCTGTCATAGACCCCCGTTCCCAGGCAGCACCCAGAGCTGCAGCAGGACATGGGTGCAAGCCAGGCTGGTACTTGGGAAAGTTCGCCAGGTGATTCCCACATGCCCCAGATCTGGGGTGCCACGGGCCTCGTGAGTACCCAGGTGTTTGTGAGTTGGTTCTCCTCCAAAAACTGCCACAGGGTTGGACACAGAGTTGTCTCACTTGTGAGCAGGTGTCTGAGAACATTGTTAATGGGGCCAATGTCGGACAAGAGCCAGTCTCTTGTGCTGCAGGTGCATGTGTCTGCTTCTGAGAAATGTGCTGGGCAAAGTAACACTCCGCATGGTCAGGGTTTGAGAATAAGCAGGCAGGCCTCCGCACCTCAGTCAGCAGCCCCAGCTATCCTGTCTGACTTCCAGGGACCACGCTGGAGGGAATGAGAAGCTGGTCAAGCTGGAGCCTGGACTGAAGGTGTATGGGGGTGATGACCGGATAGGGGCCCTGACTCACAAGGTCACACACCTGTCCACATTGCAGGTAAGGGAGAACTGATGGAGAGCACGAGCGTGGTCCTGCTGTGACTCCAGGCCTGGGGCACAGTCTGCAGGGGAGCATGGTGGGAGCCCCACTCCCTGTTGTCCCCTCCCTTACCCCTGCTGTGCAGTGTGACTGGGTGAGACCATAAGGCACAGCTGAGATAGCCAGGGAATGGCCCACATGGGTGATGGCCTTCTATCAGTGCTGAATGTCGCAGTGTGATTACATGGCATGTGCGGGAAGAGCTGCTTGTCTGGGAGCTGTGGCTGGAGTACTTGGGGTGGTCTCAAGCTGGGGAGCTGGGGAACACCCAAGATGTTTTTATTCCACCTGTTCTGTAGGTATGACCATTTTGAAGGAAAGAACTGGGACAGGTGGGGACAGAGAAGGAAACAAACAAGAGACCAGGGACAGCCGGGCTTGGTGGCTCAGCCTGTAATCCCACGCTTTGGGAGGCTGAGGTGAGTGGATTGCCTGAGCCCACAGGTTCGAGACCTGCCTGGGCAACTTGGCGAGACCTCATCTCTACAATAAATAAAAAAATCAGCCGGGCATGGTAGCGCGTGCCTGTAATTCTGGCTACTTGGAAGGCTAAGGCAGAAGGATCGCCGGAGCCCAGCAGGTTGAGGCTGCGGTGGCCGCTCCAGTCTGGGCGACAGAGTGAGACTCCAACTCAAAAAAAAAAAAAAAAGACACCAGGGACAGGAAGGAGAATGGCTTTCCTAGCACAATGCCTGGTTTAGACATGGTGCAATTTTGAAGGAGAAAACGAGCCCCTTGGGTTTGCACAAAGTACTCATGTTTGAGGGCAGTGCTGCACCAGGGGCATCTCAGAGTGACTCCTGCAGTCCTGGAGTCAGGGAGCTCCTACCACACCTTCTCAGGCTTTTCCGAAGGTCTGAGGAGGCATCGGGAGGAGGGCTGGGGGACAGGCCATGCGCCATGATCCCTGGGACAGGCTTGCCAGGGTGTTGGGAGTACATGCCGTCACCTGCTTTGTTTAAGGTGGGGTCTCTCAACGTCAAATGCCTGTCAACACCGTGCCACACCTCGGGACACATCTGTTACTTTGTGAGCAAGGCTGGTGGTTCGGAGCCCCCTGCTGTGTTCACAGGTGAGTGCACAGGTGTGGGCGGTGGGCAGAGGAGCAGGTGTGCCCTGCCAGGCAGACTGGCAGGGGCTGCTTTGTCTTCTTACATCTGTGTTTGAGCCTGGGAACTCAAACACACTCTGAGCCACCAGTGGGATGGGTTGGGGCTGGCCTCTTTCCCCCTGGGGTCTTTCTAGTGTTTGGCAGCTGGTGGCTGCCATGTGCCCAACATTGGGGGTCAGGTACAGTCTGTGGGCCAGCCCTGGTTTGGCTGCCCTCACACAGTGACCCTGCAAAGCCAGTAGCCTCCACAGCAAGTGGTGGTGGGAGTTGCTCTGATTTCTGGTAGCTCCAGGCAGCTGTGCTGGTCCCTGGGGGTTGTGAGGCCCAAGCCAGCACTGGGGTTACATGTGTCCCCTAAATCTGAGGCACTTTTCCCTTTTGAAAGAAAAAGAAAGACTGTTTATGCTGATTGGGAGCCTGTGACAACTGACATTCAGGTGACAGCGGCCATGGTGGGGATGCTGAGAGCCCCGCCCTGTGTGGTGTCCTGGGTGGCCATATCCACTGCCTTACTTGTTGAGTGAACATAATTGTTAAGCTCTGAGTCTCGCAGAGATTTGAGTTCCAGCCATGATATTGCAGCAGCAGCAAATGCTTGTTTACAAAGACTGACTGGAAGCAGTGTGGGGGCCCAGCGGGGCCTTTGAGAAAGTCTGTTTTTGTTTTTTTTCCCTGCATTCTCGTGGGGTGGGCTCTGGACCCTGGGCCCTTGTGTCAGCCCCTGGGTCTCACCTTCTCCCAGGTATAAACAGAGAAGAGGCTCCACCTTACAGGGTTGTATTGTGGAATAGGTGATCTGTGTCACCTGGGAGGCAGTGCCTGCCTACAGGGTGGCAGCAAATATGGAGGGTGTCACCTCCGAAGGTCATGTGGCCTGGGGACAGCCACACAGGAGGCCGGATCCTCTGTGACTGCAACCCCCATGTGAAAAGGCGTTGTGAGGCCGACCATATGGCACGATGTTAGTTGGCCCCAGCTGTTTCCTGCACTTGTTGCTGTCATCTGCATTACCACGCTGGCAGCGCAGTGCAGGGCTTCATTCAGTCACTCAGTGTGTGAAAGCTGGGCAGCTTTCCCTCCATGTGAGGGAAGGCATCTGGGAAACAAGGAGGTCTTGTGGGAGGCAGTGGGCCCAGCCCTGAGCCCAGGTCAGAGTGACATGCTTTCCCCCACTCAGTCCCAAGGGTGAGCCAAACTGAGGGAGAAGTACGAAGGTGGGAGTGGTGACCACCCAGGGTAGGGATGGGCATTCCCTGAGGCTGCAGCGAGTGATGAGGCTTGTCTAGCTAAGGTGGGTAGAGATGGGTGCTGCCGGGCCAGGGGGTGGAGAGGAGGTTGGTGCTCGGGATAAGCGAGGGTGGGGTCTACATGGGGGAGATGAAGCTGAGGACCTGAGACTGGGGGTCTCCCCTCATGGTGGCAAGCACTGGGGCCCCAGGGGCAGCTCAGCTAGCCAGGGAAGAGGAGGCCAAAAGCATACCCGAATTGTGGGCACCCACCGAGGTGGGCAAGTCAAGAGTAGAGAAACCAGCAGTGTGCTGGGAGGAGGTGCTGGCCCATGGTAGGCCCAGGCGCCCCCAGGAGCCCTTAGTAGCAAGGGAGAAAGGGCAGAGGCCCAGGTCTCATCTGGTGTTTACTGGGATCATGTGCCTGGCATGTATCACTGTGACACTGCTGGTGAGGACGCAGACACGCGAGGAGGAGGCCGAGACCTTGGCCCATGGGCAGTGGTCGCTCCTGCCCTTCCCCCCCTCTGGGGTCTCTTTGGTCTTTTGGTCTTCCTGACTTGAGGTCTTGAGCCCTTCGGGTTGCAGCCTGAGGCCTGGGGCTCTCAGGCCTCCCCGCCAACCTGTGCCATCTCTGGTGCCCAGGAGGGCCTGGAAGAGATGCCTGCTCTGGCTTGTGCCTGACCCTGCTGCCTGCTTCTGGGGTGGGGATGCCATCTCATGGGCTGAGGCTGGAGTGCTTGCAGGTGGGCTTTGTTAGGTTAGGGGAACAGGATGAGTCTGCTAGGTGTATCCTGTGTGTCCCCTATGTCCCCTGAGGGCGGGGCTTCTCGTGGCTCAGGCGGGAGTGAGAGGGGAGACCTTGGTCACAGGATGGTGCTGGCTGCTGGGGATAAGGTACAATGCATGAGGCCTGGTGGGGAATGCCAGGCGGGTAGGGAAAGGCTGGGTCTCTGAGGGTCTGAGCCACGGCTGGAAGCGCTGACCTGTTTCAGGTCTGAACAGCCAGCTGGGTGGTCCATGCCGTCAGCTGTCTTGAGGGAGCACACGCACAGGAGGGGCACAGGTGTGCTGGGTGGAGCAGCCTGTCAGTGTCTGGGCCCTGCCCAGTGAGTCCAGAGCAGAGCCCGGGGTTCAGACCACGAGGGTGGAAGGTCAGTGTTGCCCTGAGTCTCAGCCCCAGCCTCCCGAGTGGCCCCACCTCATGACTGTCCTGTTTCCAGGTGACACCCTGTTTGTGGCTGGCTGTGGAAAGTTCTTTGAAGGGACTGCGGATGAGATGTACAAAGCCCTGCTTGAAGTCCTGGGACGGCTCCCTCCAGACACAGTAGGCAGCACCTCCCTGTCCCAGCTTGGGTATGGGGCCTCCTGGTGTCTGCTCACCGAGCACGCCCTGTGAGGTGCCCCACGTGAAAAGGTGTTGTGAGGCTGACCATACTGCATGATGTTGGCCCCCGCTGTTTCCTGCACTTGTTGCTGTCATCTGCATGACCTGGCTGGCAGCGCAATGCAGGACTTCATTCAGTCACTCTGTGTGGAAGGCGGGCAGCGTCTTCCATGTGAGGGAAGGCATCTGGGCAGCAAGACAGTCTCGTGGGAGGCAAGACCTGGCCCGGGTTGGAGAGGACATGACCTGGCTCAGGGACCCTCAGGCCCCTCTCCAAGGAGTTCAAAGGTGGTAACAACCCTCCAAGCTCATGTGTTGGGTCTCTCCCCAGAAAGTCTACTGTGGCCACGAGTACACCATCAACAACCTCAAGTTTGCACGCCATGTGGAGCCCAGCAACGCTGCCATTCAGGAGAAGTTGGCCTGGGCCGTGGTGAGTGGGGCTGTCACTGTGCAGTGACTTCCTGAGGGCTCCTCAGGGCCCTCTTGCACAGAGGCCCTGGCTACTGGCACTGTGGTGCTGTCTCCAGGGCTGGGGACCTGGTGCCTCCAGGACAGCAAGCAGTCTGTGATTCAGACCCGTGTAGTCCAGCTTCCCTGCACGACAAACCCCAGGATTCTGGTTATGGTCTGTTCTGACTCGCTGGGTCCTGGGTGGGCTCTGGTTCTGCATTTTCCAACAAGCCCTTGGTGAGGCCAAAGCTGCAGGTTACCCTGTTCCTACCTTCTGAGCAGAAGTAGGATCAGGTGCGGGGTCCTGCTCTGTTTGGGGAAACTGCTGGCTCCTTGTCTAAGGGACATTTTCCTCCATGATGGCTGGCCCCAAGCAAGCCTCCACAGCACAGCCCAGGGCAGCTGGGGCCACGGACTGCCAGGAGCATGGGAGGGTTCTTAGGAAACTGGGATCTGTTTCCCCTAATGCACTGTAAGACTGTGTCAGTAAGAAGTGGGCACACTTGGGAGGGCCCATGACTCTGAGTTGAGTCATGTCGCCTCATGCAGGTTTGTTTTGCTTCTTAATACATCATGTTTTAAGCATCTCTTTCAATTTCTGAGGTGGCATATAATTTACTAATTATAAAAACTCAAACACTACCTTAATCAGTTGGTGAATATTCATGTTACTTAATACTTAATATGAGCAATCACCCTGTATATGCATGGTATCATCACTTTGTGTCTTCCTTTTCAAAGTTAGCCACTTTTTCAAAACTGAACCTTGAGGATAGTGTACATATAATAAAATGTTCTGTTTTGAGTGAGCAGATGCAAGTTGGATGCATTCTGACCATGTGTACCCCATGTAACCCCCACCAGTTAAGACACAGAACGTTTCCACTGCCCCAAAGGCTCCCTTGCCCCTTCCCATTCAGCCCCCCACAGCCAGTGCTAGTGTGCTCTTTCACCGTAGTTACTCTTTTCCAGGGTTTCACATAAACAGATCATCTCATATGACTCTGTTGTGTTTGGCTCTTAGCATAATGGTTGAAGTTCATCCATGTGTGTCTCATCTGAGTAGTATCCCATGGAACGGGTGTACTACATTTGACCCATCATTTGTTGGTGGACATCTGGGCTGTTTTCCATTTTTTGCTATTGTGAATAAAGTTGCTATGAACATCTGTGTACAAGTCTTTTTGTGGCTATGTGTTTACTGCTCTTGGATGCATACTTAGGAGTGGAATTGCTGCATTGTATGGTTATGTGCATAAGCTGCCGTCCAAAGTGGTTGTACCATTCTGTGTTCCCGTTATCAGTGCATGAGAGTTCCAGGTGCTACACACAATAACCGCCGCTTGATGGTGTTGGTCTTCTTAATTTTTGCCATTCTAACATGTGAGTAGTGGTATCTCACTGTGCTTTTAAAATTCACATTTCCCCATGACTAATGGGTTGGCCATATTTTTATGTGCTTTTTGGCCTTTTATATGCCTTTTGTGAAGTTTGTATTAAAAAAAAAAAAAACCTTTTGTCCATTTTTTTTTTGAGTTGGGAGTCTCATTCTGTTGCCCAGGCTGGAGTGTGGTGGCACACTCAGGGCTACTGCAGCCTCGACCTGCTGGGCTCCGGCGATCCTTCCACCTCAGCCTTCCAAGTAGCTGGAACTACAGGCGCGTGCTACCAAGCCTGGCTAAATTTTTAAAATTATATTGTGGAAACGAGGTCTCACCAAGTTGCCTGGGCTGGTTTCAGGAAATCCTCTCGCCTCAGTCTCCCAAAGTGCTGGGATTACAGACTGAGCCACCAAGCCCGGCCTTTTCCATTTTTTAATTTTAATTTTTTAAGAGACAGGGTCTCAAGTTTGCTGCCCAGGCTGGAGTACAGTGGTGTGACCATAGTTCACTACAGGCTTGAACTCTTGGGCTCAAATGATTCTCCCACCTCCGCCTCTCAAGTGGCTGGGACTACAGGCCTGTGTCACATGCCCAGCTAATTTTATTTTACTGTTTTTGTAGAAATGGGGCCTTGCTTTGTTTCCAGGCCAGTCATAAACTCCCGGCTTCAAGTGATCCTCCTGCCTCGGCCTTCCAAAGCACGGGGACTACAGGGGCGAGCCACCACAACAGCCCCTTTTGTCCTTTTAAAACACTGGGTTGTTTGGCTTGTTATTGAGCTGTAAGACTTCCTTCTATAATCAGGAAACAAGTCTCTGTCAGATGCATGGATACACATCTCCCCCCAGTTGTGGCTTGCCTTTCCACTTCCTTCACAGTGTCTTTTGAAAAATAAAATCAAATTCATGCTTAATCTTTTTTTTTTTTCCTTATGCTTTTTAAGTTCGCAAAGACTTTTTCCTGCAGTTTTTCTTAGAAGTTTTAAAATCTTCACTTTTCAGGTTAATGTTTGTGGTGGAAGGGTAGAGATTCCCTTTCTTTTGCATTTTGACACCCATTCATTCAGCACTATATGTGACTAGCCCTTCCTCACTGAATCATCTTGGTACTTCTCTGACAAAAATGGACCCCATATGCATGAATCTACTTCTGGACACTATTCTGTCACTGGCTTGTATGGCAATCTGTTTATCAAAGCTTGCTCTCTTGATTACTGCGGCTTTAAGTCTTGAAAATCAGCATAAATCCTCTATTTTTCAAAATTGTTTTGGCTCTTTTAAGTCTTTTGTATTTCTATTTTTAGAATCGTCTTGTTAATTTCTACCAAAAAAAAACCCCAGCTTGGCTTTTGATTGGAATTGTTGTAGTAATAGATTTGGAGATAATTGAGATCTCAACGATACTGAATTTTTCTATGAACATTTGCTTTCCATTTATTGAGGGCTTTAATTTCTCAGCAGTGTTTAGCAACGTTTGTGTTAAAGGTCTTGCACATATTGTTAAATATACAAGTGCTTTAAGCTTTTTTCTGATTATTTGTTGATACTATTTAGAAATACAGCTAACATTTTGATTTCCTTGGTGTCTTAGTCCACTTGTGTTGATATAAAGAAATACCTGATGCTGGGTAATTTATAAAGAAAAGAGGTTTATTTAGCTCATGCTTCTGCAGGCTGTACAGGAAACACGGTGTCAGCATCTGCTTCTGGTAAGGGCCTCAGGCTGCTTCCACTCATGGCAGAAGGCAAAAGGAGCCGGCGTGTTGCAGAGCACAAAACGGGAGAGGACAGCAAGAAGGGAGAGAGGTGCAGGCGTTTTTCCCCAACAATCAGCTCTCAAGGGAACTCTCTTGGGAACAGAACCAGCACTCAGCACCTCAAGGACGGCTCAGGGCCACTCACGAGGGATCTGTCCACACAACACCAACACTTCCAACACGGAAATCAGGTGTCATCATGTTGGGGGACAGACATCCAAACCACAGCAGGAGTGGAACGGCTGGGTCGTGTAGTAGGTGTTTGATTTTTAAAGACCTGCCAAGCTGTTTTCCTAAGTGACTTATTTTTCATTCCCACCAAAAAAGTGCAAGAGCTCTGGATGTCCCACATTCTCAATGCTTGGAATTTCCAGTCTTTTAAAAGTGTATTCTGGAAACAAATCCTCTGCAGATATATGTACTCTGACTTGTTTCTCCCACTCTTTGGTTTGCCTTTTATTTTCTCAACAGTGTCTTTTGAGGAGCAAACGCTACTAATTTCGATGAAGTCCAATATATTATCTTTTATGGTTCATACTCTTTGTCTCTTAAGAAATCTGTGCTTATTTCAGGGTCAGAAAGTGTTCTCCTATGCTTCCTTTAGGAAGTTTTATACTTCAGCTCTTAAACGTAGATGACTTGCGCCCCCACCTCCAATGTCAGTGGACCTGTAGCGGTGTTCCCAATTTCATTCTGATGACTGCCAGTTTGTATTCACCAGTCTTATCAACCTTGTTGATGTTTAAAAAGAACAACTTTTGCCTTGCTTTCCCGACCCCTTCTTTTTTTCTTGCGCTGATTTCTGCTTAATCTTTGCTAATTTCTTCTTTGTTACTTTGGATTTACATTGCTCTTATTTTTATAGGTTCTTCCTGTGGAGTCTGAGGGAGGAGATTTTAGATCTTCTAACAGAAGTGCTTAAATAACCTTATCTCCAAGCACCCCTTTTGCAGCATCCCACAAATTCTTATATGTTGTATTTTCATTATCTTTGAAATACTTAAAATCTCTTGTGATTTCTTCTTTGACATGTGAGTTATATCTGTGTTAAACATTCTTTTAGCCTTTTCAACACCGCATTATAAGAATTTCACACAGATAATGTAGAGGAATTTCATATGCCTGACACCTACTTTCTACCATTAACATTTTTTCTCACCCCTATTTCATCATGTGTCCATCTTACTGTCATCCTTAATTGGTGTAAGATGTACTACTGTGTGGATGTCACCCATGAGTCATTTTACCAATCCCATTAGGAAAGACATTTAGAGCTTTCAACTTTTTACTTTTATGAATTGTGCTGCAGTGAATGTCCTTGTATATGTTAATTAATTTCCACATGCTTCATGCTTCTGTAGGAAAAACTGCTCCCACATTAACACTCAGATAATCCAAAGGCTACAACAGTTTACATTCCTGACTCTGGCAAAGCCTGTTGTAAAGCTGTCCTTAAGTGTTCCCTTTTCTTCAGGAGGTGAAGGAGGATTTCTTAGGAGGAAGCACAGGACTGTTATGAGACATTCTAAGATTCTTTTCACCAGAAGGGAAAGGACAGAGATTAGCGATCCGCCTTCTTTTTGACCTCCCCCCAACCCCACCCCCTCCGTTGAGTTCCTTCTTGGCACCACTGTGTGCAGCAGGTGGATGGAACGGGGACCCTCAGGCTGAGTGGACCTGGAGGTGGAAGGGCAAGGGCTGTCTGGAGACCCGCCATTGACACCCTGCCTCTTCCATGGGAACAGGCTTCTGCAGGATCTAACCACTGGCCAGAGGGCCGGGTTTACATTCCTTCTCTCTCTCTGCCCTGGTCAACGGGGGTCAGGAGACGCTCCCAAGTGGAGGCAACAAGCTGCCTGCAGGGCCTCTGATGGCTTTCCCAGAGCACTTGTGGTCCTCCTCCCAGGGAGTCCTCCCTGCTGAGAGCTCACCTCCCTCTAAAGGGGCCATTGCTGGGCCCTGACACCTGTCATTCTGCTGTTCCTCCCTGTGCGTGCTTTCTTTTCTGTGTTTTCTGCACTTTCGCTAGTGATAACTTTCTGTAATGTGAAACATAAACCTCAAATGAATGAAAAGAAAGCTCTGTCTCCGCCGCCTCCATGACTGCGTGGAAAGGAAGGATGTGGTGGCAGCTTACACTGGGACACTCAGTTCTCTTCCCTTCTCCATGAGCAGGCTCTTGCTCACCTTGCTTTCTGTCTTGAGGTCATTAGGGGCTATCTTGAAGTGTCATTTTTAAAAGTTGCCACTTCACAGTGACACGTCTCTCTTGCAGGAGAAGTACAGTATTGGGGAGCCCACAGTGCCATCCACGCTGGCAGAGGAGTTCACCTACAACCCCTTCATGAGAGTGAGGTGAGGGTTCCAGGGGCTGCGGGGGGGACCTCCCCCATGGAAGTTGTGTTCCTAAATGTACAGCTGAGCCTGCCCTGGAGAGCTTTATCCAGGTCCTTGCTTTTTTTCGGGGGGGGGGGGGGGGGGGGAAGCAGGCCTTTTCTGGTGCCTTGGCAAGGCATGGGCCTTTTTGAGCCCTAGAGTCCCAGAACCCGTGGGAGATGGAGCTGCTCCCTCTGAAGCCCCCAGCTTGAGGGCCTGGGCGCTGCAGAGCTGTTGCCTTCCTGCCTTCTGTATGGCTCCAGGTCTGGGTTGGCCAGTGCCATTTTCCCATGGTAGAAACACCCCGAGCGGCCATCAGCTGGTACCTTCTCCTCTGAGAATGTCCTGGCTTCTCCAGGCACCCGGGAGGGGTGGCAGGGTCCGCTTGCAGCCTGCAGTCTGCAGCCTGGTGCTCACCTTCGCAGGGAGAAGACAGTACAACAGCACACGGGCGAGACAGACCCCGTGACCACCATGAAGGCCATCCGCAGGGAGAAGGACCAGTTCAAGGCACCCCGGGACTAGGTGGCTGCTGCCACCTTCAGAGGCATTTGGGGACTAGGCTGCTTTAGGTAACTGACTTTCCTGCTGGTCGCACAGGAAATTCAGTCTCAGCTTAATTTTAAATTAATTTTAGAGCCCTTTGCTTGTGCTATCAAATGTTCTAATGCATATTTATAAGATAATTTTAAAAAGTATTTATTCCTGTAACCTCTGCTTACAGACTCTGTACATTATCTCTGGGCTTCACACACGAGCCTCCTTGTGGGTCGCATGATGCCCCAAGAGCGGCTGTGACCCTCCAGTCCTTGCTTCTCAGATCAGGGCTCCCAGGAGGGAGTGCTCCCCCCATTTTGCTGGCTCTGCAGGAGAGAGGAGACACCTGGCATCACCCTTGGGTTCTTTCCCTCCACCAGCCTGCCTGCCCAGAGGAACTGATGGCGACCCCTGGGGGTTAATACCCTTGTGGGTTCTGTGTCATCTTACAGAACCTTTCTTGTGTTGACATCGAATGGGCCGACTCAGGCCCTTTGAGAGCAGAATGCCATCCTACCCTGGGCCGAGTGGAGTTCTGAGCACCGTCATGGGCTGGGGAAGTTAGCGGCTCAGAGACACTGTACACAAAGCCAAACGCCGGGGGCCCTGCCAGGCTAGGGGCTCTGCTCGAGGTCGGAGCAGCCGCTATGGCCATGCTGTGCTCATGCTGTCTCCTGTCCTGAGCTCCCAGGGAAGGTAAAGGCTGAGCAGAGGCTGAAGGGAGACCCCATCCCAGCCGCCTAGAGCTCTTGCAGGCTGTCCTGGGAAGTCCCTGGGGATGGATGGCACACTGCTTCATGTCAGCAAAGGGCTGATGGAGACTCCAGGATGCCCACTGGCCATGTGAACAGGTATGCTTGGTGGGGTCTTGGCTAGCACTGATGTGACTGTCAGACTCGTGACATTTGGCACCTCTGTGGCCCCTGGTTGTGGTCTGATCTGCTTCAGCCCCCCGAATGAAGAGGCAGGGCCACATCCTTCTTCCCGGAGGAGGCTGGATCCTGAGAGCGCTGGGTGGGTGCCCCTCCCTCTGCCTTGCTTGAGGGAATGAAAACTGCCCCCTGGGAAGCTGCTGTCCTGGGGGGCTCTTAGCCTGTGAGCTCAGGCTAGTCCTGGACTCTGGGGAGGTGGCGCGCAGCCATGTGTCCTGCTGAGACCTTGGGCTCCAGCTATACCGAGTCCCATCCCAGGCCTAGTGGCTGGGCATCCGAGTGGGGAGGATTGGAAAGCAGTCCCCAAGGCGCCCGCAAGACGGGAGGCGCTGAGGGCCCAGACCCAGGGCACGGGGTGGGGCCTCCCTGTCAGGAAGAGGCACTGATCCCTCCGCTGGCCTTTTGAGAGCTGGTGGCTTCCTGGTGGTCTGTGCTGGGTCTGCTTTATGTCTTCGCCTCCTTGGCTCAGATGGGACGCAAGCTGTCGCTCTCTGTGCACCTCGAGGCCACAGGGCGCACCCCTGTCCTGGGCTGTGTTTGGGCTCAGTTGCTCTGCAGCTGCTGCATGGTCCACACCACTGTGCCGTCAGAGTCTCGGACATTGTAAAGTGACACGAGAGCTGCACAAACTCCTTCCGGAATAAAGAGGGTGGTATAGGCTGAGCCAGAGCTTCTGTCACCCCAGTGGTGGGAGGGATTGTGGAACGGGGTTTGCACGTGCCCATCTAAGTGCATGCACCACACACACACAAACCTGGAGAGACTCCCAGGGGTGGCATGTGGTACCTGCTGCTTGTGTCCTGTCTTTGGGTATGATGCGAGATGTGTGGGCTCGACGCTGCCTCTGAGCTGCAGGCCCCGCTGAGGGTGGCTGTCGGTTCCCGCCATCACACGAGGGCCACCGTGTGCAAGGCCAGGCTCCCTGAGAGTACATGGCGGATGAGCGGCTCCTCCTGCAGCTCGGGGATCCCGCACTCGCCTTCGTTCCAACACCCCAAAGGCTCCATGGGTGCCACGTGTTTGGGTGGCTGCAAACAGAGGAGAGATGAAGTGTTCAGCAGCTGTGCAGAACAGGAGAACAGCATGCCTGCCACCTGGCACAGTTTGACCAGTCCAGAGACGCTCTGTGGGCCCACCCTACCCCCTCCTCAGGTCCACCGCGTCCCCTCATGATGGGTGGTTTCGCTGTGCCAGTCCTCCCTGGCATGGTGGCCTCCTGGGACTCGCTGTGCCCCTTCTGACATGGTGCTGGCCCTGAGCACTGTGGGGTACGAGGCTGTGGGTGCTGTCCTGCTTTCCCCGTGCACTTTCTGATCTTTTGCTGCCGCAAATGTACAGCCATGCTGCGTGGGACAGGCCTCCCTGGGGCTTAGGAGCAGAGAGGACCTGCAGGCACAGGAAGGTTGTACTCTCTGGAGAACACCTCGACTATTCTGTTGGAATCTTCCAGCTGGTACTGCTCCCCCAGGGGGATAAACACAGGGCACGTTGCTCCGGTCCTTGCCAGCTCTTGGTACTGAACATGTTAATTTCTGTCCCTCTGGGGAGCATGCAGTGGCAGTATGTGGAAGTTTTAATGCATTTCCCTGGTCACGAGGGAGGTGGAACACCTTTGCACACTCACCAGCCATCAGGACTTCCTTGTGTGTGACCAGCTCTTGGCTTTGGTGACTACCCAGCCTTCTTGCTGGCGCTTTTATCAGTTGCAAGTTCTGTGTTCCACTTTGGGTCCTTTGCTTTATGTTTCATGTTCTACGTGTCCTTCGGCTGTGCATGATGACAGTTCTCATATTGCTGGCTACCCACTTTCTTAGGAGAGAGAAATTCTTAATGTATAGAGTCAAACATATCGCTTTTGTCTTTTGTGTCATGTTGAACTAGTCTTTCCCTACCATGATGTTTTCCTGTGATGAAAATCCATCATTTTGCTTTCACATTTGGTTTCTAATTCCAGTGAGGATGCTTTTTATGCCCAGGGTTGGTTTCCTATATTCCCACATGGGATGGACCACCAGATTCCTGCCCCTTGTCTACATGGCCAGCTTCCATGGGTATCGACTGTTCTGAGCCCATGCCATGTTGGCAGGCTTCCCCGTCCTCATGATAGCTGCATTATCTTAGTTGCTGCAACTTTAGGACAATTTGTCACCAGGGAGGGACACTGGCCCACCTTGTCCTTCCAAGAGCCTTGCTCTTGTGTGTCAGTGCTGAGGCACGTACGTTAGGGCCTGGGCCTGAGGAGCACTGACTTGCTAGTCTGGGAAGGAGCGGCCTTCTGTGGTCTGAAGAGCGTCAGGCTTTGCGTGTGCCACGGGTCGAGTTAGATCTCAGCTGTTGTGCCCCATGACGCCGTTCTGACAGCTGCCACTCAGTGTGAACCTGCAGGTGAAGGGCACGGTTCCCAGCAGGACAGCCCTCACCTCAGGCGCCCGCCACACTCTGACCAGCTGGCCACAGATTCAGACCCATGTGCTCTAGCAGAATGCAGACTTAAGGCCGGCACCATGCTTCTGCCTTCAGCTCTGTCTTGGAAACCCCGGGTGAGGCCTGGGAGGGTCCTGGATGCTTCCAGGAGTACTACCCTTCAGGCATATGTGTGTCCACCACCAGGAAACCCTGAGCCTCAGTGTCAAGTCTGTCCTGGGGTTTTGTGACATAGTGTGACCAAAGGAGTCACTGGCCACATGTGTGGACTCCAGCTGCCCCTCCCTGGAGGTCAGGCTAGTATTATGTGGCTCCCGAGTCCCATCCCAGGTGTGACCCATGGGCTTGTGAACTAAAATTGTGCAGCTTTCAAGGTTCCCTTCCAGGACCCTGGACAGAGACCAGACAAATTCTTTACTCAACAGATGGTGCCTTCCGGTCAAGTTCTGTAATTTTCTCCCTGGAGGTTGGTTCTCTAGGGATATTAGGCCCTGGCACTTTGTTTTTTGATGATATTATAAAGAGTGTCTTCTTTTAAATTATATCAGGGCCAGAAAATATAAAGTGCAGTGAACCTGGCTCCTGAGAGCTAAACTTGCTAATCCAAATGATTCCCTGGTGTTTCCTGTCGTCCGGTTGCTGGGACTTCTGTCTCCTTGTGTTGATATGAGACGAATGGGTGCAGTGACTGTAATTCCCGACTTTACTGATTGGTTTAGCGAGAATCTGGATGCTGGCTGTGAGGCAGCTGTTGAGGTCCTCTTGGGATTTAGTGAACAGATAGAAATCCCTGCCCTCATGGAAGTGGCTGGATGGTGGGAGGCCCCAGAAGAGGACCGGAGAGCACGGGGCTGTCCTCCAAGAGGGTGGCTGGGAGGCCTTGCTGTGCCGCGTCAGCAAAAATGCAGGGGACTAAGGGTGGGAGAAAGGTTACTGCAGAGACCCTGGGGCAAGTCTGTGGAGAACAAGGTGCTGGCATGGCTGGAGGGAGGAGCGCGGGGCAGGTGGCCAAGGTGCGGACCTTGGTGTCCTGCACCTCCCAGAGACATGGAGCGGGTGGGCTGAGCAGGAAGCTGATGCCTGACCCTTCCCAGGGTTTCTGACTGTGCATGTGGAAGCGGGCCTGCTGGCCCTGATGGCTCATACCTCAGGAGGGGGGCCTCAGACCACGTAAGTGCCGACGAGACAACTACGTCTGCTGGATTGGGGCTGAGCCGTGAGCACCTGAGTTTTGGCCTGGGCAACTACAAAGACAGTATCCACTTAGTGGAATGGAGTGAGGGTGAGCATACGGGAGCCCGTGGCGATGAGCTGGGACAGCCAGGGCACAACACCCATGAGGCAGCCGGCTGGGAGGAGTGGGCAGAAGCCCAGGCTGCAGATCACATGAGGGCATTACTAGCATGAGTCCCGGGCCCATAGGACCGAGTGCAACCACGTGCAGTCAGCATGTCCAGGAAGTTCAAAGTCAGGGAGACAACAAGGAGCTGAGTAGGCAGGAAGAAAACGAAAAGGGTGGCGTCACGTGGGGGCAGTGAGGCCGGACTCCCCAGGGAAGCGCGGCAAGGCAGCGCCCCGCTGGGGAGGCCGGCAGCCCCGAGATGCACCTGCCCCACCTCCGGCCTGGCTTGGCCGAAATTCTCCCGGACGGAGCTGAATCTTAGCAAGTGTTTTTTCCTGCATCTGTGAACTATTCTCCTTTTGCCTGGGGAGTCGTATGAACAGATTTTCTGATACCAAGTCATAGATTCTTGGGCCAAATCCAATTCATTTGCTGGATTTGATTTGCTGATTCCTTTCTTGTACCATCCCTGTCTG